ACCACTTGAATCAATGTCAGAACTTGTGATTTCACGCGCACGTGTTAAACCACTAGACTACCCAACCCCCATGTAAGACGGATTTTATAAGTTGTTGTATATTGTATATACCGGTACGGGAAATTTGTTTTATAATAGGCCTATATAATAAATTAAATTGTTGTTGCCTAAGGTGTTTTTTTTTTTATCAGACATTTTTGGCAGATAAAATATCCCAGTTGGCTCAAAAAATTATATGCACATTTTTTTTATATAAAAATTATTATCCATTTCGACGGAAAAGAATGAAAGACAGTGTGAGCCCCGATTGTACGTATTCAAATGCGACCTGGAAAATTGAGACTACAACAGCTTCCGAGGCGAAAGTCGACAGTACGACAGCAAGCCAAAATAATAGGTCGCTAATAGCGCGGTGTGTTAATTTCCTAATTTCTACTTTTCGAGTTGCATTTTGGCTTGTTGTGCTTGTTGACGTCTTCTTGCTGACATCAATAAATACATATATATGACTAAGTCGAAAGTCGACATGACGGTATACAAGCCAAAATGCAAGTCGAAAAAAAGAAATTAGGAAAAAACGAGGGGCGCTATTATCGCTGTGTGTTATTTCTTAATATCCTATTTTCGAGTTGATTTTGGCCTGTATAGCGTGTTGTCGACTCACATTTTCTCGTAACTTCAACTTTTCAACTTTCGCGTTCTGAAGAGGCGAAAAGTAGAAATTATGAATGGTAGTTATAGGCTTCGATACAATACTCAAAAGCCCTTCATATGGAAAACAGCACTTTAAAGTGCACATAAGACGGACCTGGAAACTTTGAGGTACGTGTAACCAATGGTTACTATATCCACTTTACGGCAAGTTCACACCAATCTCTTTGAAATTAATTCAGCTATCTTCACTCAAAGTCGCAAAAATAGACCTCCCGTAAAAACGACTTTGCAAATTATCGAAAACACTCTTAATCCCCACAGGCGCCAGTGACGTCACAGTGACCGAATGCATATTTGGAATGTATTCATTAACGCTTCAATGATTCCTTAATCCCCTAATTAAATAAAACAATTGACTGCGGAATAATTTGTTTTGTAATTTATTTTAATTGAAGATCCTATTTAGAATTTGTTTTATAATGTCCCGCCCTCTCTTCGCACGACAGCGATTTTAAAACTGTGTTATAAAATGACTTTTTGATAAGAGCCACTCTACCATCGTGTACAGTCCAAACGATTCGAAATATATTTCCGTCAGAAGAGTATTGTGGTTCTAATTTCCTCAAGTAAAAGAGTACAGAAGTAAAAGATGTGGTTATGCATAAAAGTCAAACATGACTGATTTGTTAATGACGATCCGTATCTCGTTTTCCTGTAGCCATCATACGGCGCCTTTCTTTCTGCATGTGGGCCTACAGTACATACGAAAATCACCCCTCAGAGCGCCCCACCCCACCCCCTAATGAGCCACGCATTCCGTCCCAATTGACCCTTGCCTCTAAATTCCTCCCCGGGGGCCAATTGAGAAGCACGTACTGCTCTAGAGGGTACACAAGCTAGCGCGATTTTTCGCACAGAAATGAAATGAAATGGGATTTAATGTCGTGCTTTTCTGCATCGACTGGGCTAATAAAGACAGACATATACTCCATGCACTGTGCTATGAGAGAAATTTTGCACCGACAGGGCGCAAAACGGCCTACTCTCATTTCGAATTTCCACTGTCCAGAGTTCTGTACGTTCACACCAATGTGTACGGGATCGACCTCGGTTTTTCGTCCCATCCAAATGACGGATGTATACTTTCTCGGCCAACTCAGACAACAAAAATGGGACCTCCAGGTTAGTGGGCCAACGTCTTACTCACTGAGCCACAGTGGCCCCTTTTTTCGTATAATCAAGGGCAATAATTATAATAATCCAGCAAGTTACGTGTCGGCTGAAATGGACCCATCCGAGAGGTTCCAAGTTCCAACAACATCGGGGGAAAATGTGACCTCGTCTCGAGAGTCCACCAGCTAAAAAGATGATTTTTTCGTACCACTAGGGGCAATAAATAATCCATGAAGTTACGGTCCGATACTGACCGATACGTGCAAAAATCGAACCAGTCCGAGATTTTTGGGGCGACGCATTAAGATAATGTGGGCTTAGAAAAATATAGTTAATCATTGGAAAATCATCATGTAAATGAAATGAAAATGCATGTTCCAAAAAATATGTTTTACAAATACATGGTTAATGTCCAAGCGGAAAAATATAAGCTATTTTAAAGCTAAAATTAAAATCGAATGTACAAGGGAAATCCAAAACTACATAATCATTGACTCATGACTGACAATCTATTAGAGGGAGGTAACTCAGCTATGATTGTATTTTACACCTGTTTTGCATTTGCAATGGGGGGTTGGATGGCTGAATGGTTAGCGTGCGCGCGCTGTATCATAAAGTCTGTCATTGAGTCGACTGGCGTGGTTTCGAATCCACGGTTGTACGTGACAAGGAGTAGGGTCGCCTGTCCAACCTCGTGGGTTTTCTCCGGGTCCCCCGGTTTCCTCCCACTGCTAAAAACCCCTATGCGCAAGCGAATGATTGAAATAAAATTAAACCATATGTTAGTCCCGAAATGACCTAGTTTGTGTCGAGTGGACGTTAAAACCCATCTCTCTCTCTCTCTCTCTCTCTCTCGCATTTGCAATGCTATAAGCGATGTTTTAGTCATGTAGTTCTGATTAACCAGTCACATCAATTTTATTTTACTCATAACTACGCAATAATTTCAAGATGGCGGATAAAAGTGAAGCACACGAACTTCGGAGAGAAATAGCATATTTATCAGGTTTTAGAACTCGCAGATCCAGATTTCAATTTTTTATTATCACATAAATAATAATCGCACTCAGTTCACTATTAATCATAAGATGGTCAAAAGGTCTACGCCTTTGTGAAATAATCAAAAACTTCTCGACTTCTGTAATCTGTTCAGAGACAGAAGGTTGGATTAGACATTGTCATTAGTCGATACAGTGATACACAATAAAAAAAAAAAAAAAATGTGTCTTCAGAATTTCCCTGGCCTTGGCGTCTACTAATTACTTTAGTTACGGATAAGAATCCGTTCACACGTCGCTGTGGATCAATTTCGAGTTGCGTAAAAATACGCAGACATTCATAAATTTTGCGTCTCAAAATATAGAAGCAAGTAAAATCGTTACGTGAACAACCCTATTTTAAGCGTCCTTATTTCATTGATATTGTATTTAGTCTAATGACGACTGAAGGTTGAGGGCATATCTAATATCTATGGTTGACGGCACAGTTATTTCAATCTTTCACTTCGACAGGAAGTAAAGAGCAAACTATCGCTATGAAAGTCAATATTATTATTTGATTGGCTGAATGTTGTAGCCAATCCAAAGTCTTGTATGAAATGCGCTTTATTGCTTCCACTACTTCCAGTGCGGCAAAATAGGGTGTCTCAGAATACTGAATGAATAGCTACGTAAGGATGGCTTACTGCCATGAACTCAGTAGCGGATTATCAGTGAGGCTGATGAGGCTGCAGCCTCAGGCCCAAAGATTTTGTAAAAAAAATTTTTTAGACTTGTCTGATACGATTAAAAATGCTGCAGCCTCAGGCCCAAAGATTTTGTAAAAAAATTTTTTTAGACCTGTCTGATATGATTAAAAACGCATAGACAATGAATGTTAGGGGGTGGGGTTTAGGCCCAACGGGAATCAACATAGGCCCTGACCCGAAATTAATTAGGCCCACGCCATTTTAAATAGGCCCTATTTAAGAACTAAATAGGCCCTCCAGCAACTGCCGCCTCAGGCCTTGGTGGAGCTTAATCCGCCACTGCATGAATTAAACATTATGAACGAAATAAGAGGAAAAACCTATGGAGACTACGTACAGTAGCAGTGTGTAAATGCCGCGTGAAGCACGGAAATTGATGACGTAGTGTATAAACTACGAAATAGAATAATCTAATTATTATCACGTCGGGGAAATTTTCTGTGTGTAAATTACGCAGCGTCCGTCAATATTTGTTGCGGGTTTTTTTTAAAAGTGTGAAAAACACGGATTTTTGCGTGACTGCAACCTCTGAATCCGTTACTAAAGTAACTATTACTAAACTAGGCGTTTACTATCACAATAATGAGCATAAATAAGGCTAGGATCTAGTAGAAATTGTCAGACAGTTTGATCTATCTATGACTTAGTTCAGCTCTGAACGTAGGTGTCATTACACTCACCCTGTACGTTCAGGAACCGTCCTATTGAATCCTTGTCAAAAAAATTTCACTTCCCAGTAAATTTTTACTTGGTAACTTTTTACTGCTAAACGGTCGCGTGTCAGTCCCTGTGAACGCTTGAACAATGTAAATGAACAGCTTATTAGTGAGAAAATAAGACCTTTATTACCTCCCTAAAACCAGTATGAGCGACACAACACGCTGTTAAAAAATATGTCCCCGTTTGGTCAACACCTTGACTGACACCATTGAAATCTAAATATAGGGTAACGCACAAATTTACGTAATTCGGCCACATAAGATGAAACAAAATTTAGGTAAGCCTGGGGGAAACAAATTGAGATTTTTGAAAAACTTTGATTGTAAATTATTGTAATTGGGCTAAGCAAAGCAATAAATGACTGAAAATTCTCAACTTTTCAAAGATTTCAATTTTTTCCCCCAGGCTTACTTAAATTTCGTTTCATCTTATATGGCTGAATTATGTAAATTTGTGCATTACCCTATATTTAGCTTTCAATGGCGTCAGTCAAGGTCTTTACCAGATGGGGACATATTTTTTAACAGTGTGTTGTGTCGCTCATACTGGATCTAGCGAGGTAAGCAAGGTCTTATTTTCTCACTAAGATGTTCATTTACATTGTTCAGGGACTGACACGCGACCGTTTAGCAGTAAAAAGTTGCCAAGTAAAATTTACTGGGAAGTGAAATTTTTTCGACCAAGGATTCAATAGGATGGTTCCTGAACGTACAGGGCGAGTGTAATGAGACCTACGTTCAGACGTAACTATCTATAAATGACTATGATCTATTCCATATCGAAACCATATATTCAATTGGCATATAGATTCTTCAAATAGACAAGACATTTCGTAGAGTATTTCCATAATGGGATTGACACAAAGTTCAATAACTTAATATTATTTACTTCCCGTTGATATTTTCAGGTCTTATAAATAGTGCAAAGAATCAGCCAAGTAATTCCTTTCACAATGGTCAGATTAGAAGACCTACAGATCAGTTCTGTTCTACATGGAATCAACCATATAATTATCACAATCACTATAAATATAATAATAACTATTCTATTACACGCTATCAAAATCGTATACCTTTTCGAAAGTCTACAAAATTTGTCGCAGATATATCTAGTCAGTCTCTGAGTGAAAAAGAATCAAATGATTCAAGATCTGTTATATTTAAGAATTCGTCAGATATTACACCTTTGAGTGTTGCTCAGAAAAACACGTACACAGTAAGAACATCTGAAACTTATACCCTGCACAATTTAAAGACCGTTAAAAGTGAACCCCTTCCGGTACGTAAGAACCACTCATTCTCACAATCTTTAAATCATTCTTTCTGTCAAAAGTCAACATCAGGTGTGCTTATCAAAGACAGTGAAGACAAGTCTGAATCTAATCAAGTACGTGAACACATAAAAATGCATGTTAACCCAAAGTTTCTTAAGAGAAAGATTACAGAAAATGTCAATGGTAGCAACTCTTTGCTTAATTCTATTAGTATTAGTAGTTCTAAAACTAATTCTTATTCAATACAACACTCGAATTCATCTGCAAGTGCAAATCCAAAAAAAGTGACAAATGTCTCACAAGTACAGTTGAACACTATGGATAATATGGTTAACACTAATCCCAGTTTTGTGTCCAATTTATTAATGATGACGGGTTGCACTAAAAGTTCATCTGAATCATCTGAGGCAGCTCAACTACAGCGGTCAAATCAGTCTAATGGTTCCAGTACTTTTATGAGTTCAGGGAACACTAGTAAAACTCTGAAAAATTCAGCCACAGAGATGGATAATGTGGTTAACACTATTCCCAGTTCTGTGTCCAATTTAGTAATGATGACGGGTTGCACTAAAAGTTCATTTGAATCATCTGAGGCAGCTCAACTACAGTGGTCAAATCGGTCTAATGGTTCCAGTACTTTTATAAATTCAGGCAACACTAGTAAAACTCTGAAAAATTCAGCCACAGAGATGCAAATAAAAGATCTTCGGGAAAGTTTAGGTTATGAAATTCCAGATGAGCCTCCACCAGGAACAATGGATACCTTTTATAGAAAGAGAAATAATGAATCTTATTGCAAAAAACATTTGAACACGACAGTGTTTGATCCATATTATCATAGAAAACATGTCTTGCCTTCATCACAATACAAACTTGATAAAAAAATAAAATCAATTGTCTACCCACATGTAAGCTTGAATCGTAAGATAAACTCTACTGAATTGAACCGTTCCAAATATGTTTTAAACAGAAAAAATATAATTCCATCCAGTCACATTTATACTACTAAATCAAAGTTCACAAATAATAATCAGTATTCTTATAGTGCTTCAAAGAAATATCTGGGTATTTCAAAAACGCAACATGCAGCTAAAACAATTATAAGTAAATATAAGGTTAGAAAAGTTCCTGATATCAAGACCAGGTTAAGTACAGTTAGACAAACAAGAAATCCGTTTATGAATAATACAAGATCCTGGAGAAGCAATGGGTCATATACCTACACTTCACCAGCTATCAAGTTCTATACAGCTAGAAGTAACAACTGGGAGAACAGATACAGAATTAGAGGACCCACCTTGAAGATAAATTCACATAGAAATGGTAGGATTGACAGAAAGAAACATTGAGTTTGTTTTTAATTTAAAATTTAGTTCTGGTATTGTCTGACATATATTTTTTAATTAAAGATGCATTATGTAAGATTTAGGTAAAGAGCTGTCCGTTCTTGCTATAATAGTTCAAAGATAGATAATGCATTTTTAAGAATGATTGGGCAGACATACCAAGTATCAAATATTTCAAATGTCGAATGGAACCAATCTTTTCTTTGAGAATTGTATATGCAGATTGTAATAATAATAATGTTCAGCAACTTCATCTATATTTCAGTGTATTCATGGAATAAATATACCAGCTATTCATTTTCTGGCAGACAAAGAGGCTTTCAATACAAACTTGATCAACATCACATTCAAAGGAAATTGCATTATCTTAATAAACCGTTTTCTTATAAGAAGACAAGGTGAGAATTTAGCAGTGATAACCTTGCTCGATTTTCTAATCTAGTTACATTTGCTTTTTATTCTGAGTTGAGAAAAATGGTAAAACAATATGAATGTCTTCAGACAGAATTTAACAACTGATTATTGGTTGTGCCACAAGCTAAACTGAAATCCTATGGGGATAAAGCCTTCAGTGTCTGTGGAATAACTTACCATTGGAGATACAGAGTTCTCAAACATTAGCTGTGGTCAAATCCATACTCAAAACTCATTTGTTTGTTACTTATTATCAGGATTAGTTATTATCTTCCATGCGCTTAGAGCATGCAGTATGGATGGAGTAAGCGCAATCATAAATGTACTTTGTTATTATTATAAGAGACTTTTGGCAAGCAGATTTTTCCCATCCGTATCCCGTATCCGTATCGTATACAAGATACGTTGCGTCGATGTATTTTTACAGTTTTGGCAGATTTTAGCAATTTTTGGTTTCACTAATGTATCATTTCAGAAAGTTTAGCCCATAGATCAACCAGTATGCAGACAGGCGGGAAAAATATGAAAATTCTGAGAAAAACCCATCAAAAATAATGATTAAATTGCAGTCGTTATCACTGTTAAAATCACATCAAATATACACCTTCGTGTTCCAGGATACACATAGATTCATAAAAACGCTATGATGCAACATTTCAGCGTCGAAAAGTAGCAAAAAAGACGGTAAAAAGACGACAGTGTTATACGGACCATTACCGTATGAAAGCCGTTCCATACGTGCTGCCGTATCACGTATGAGAAATACACAGACATTGATGACGTCACACGCAAAATCCATACGGATACGCGATACGGACCAGGAAATTACGCTTGCCAAAAGTCTCTATTATTAAAACGTCTAATCCCTAAGAAACACACACAAATAGTAATTATGATGTTAACCTTTTCTACTATCTAGGTTATTGAAGATATAATTAAGTCATTATTCCCACTAGAGGGAGTAGAAAGAAAGAGCAAGTTTTTGTATTTCTTGTACAGATATATCCATCGAAATTATGTACTATTCTTTTACAAAGGGATGGTAATTTGAGATCAGTTTTATATCCAATTCCATATATTCCCTGTGCAGAGCCCTTATAGGACTGATCATTAGAGAATGAGATAGACTTTGGGACAAATCCAATGCATGTACAGTACCTTTGTTATCTTCAAATACATCTTTTGTAGTTTAAAGTTTGATAGAAGAAATAGGAAAGCTGGATGTCGTCTGGTGTTTATAAATGGCTTCCTATACAGATCAACAAATAAAAGTATGACAAAAACGGGCAGTAAAAAGGTGGATAACAGACTGAAATCTGCATCACCAAAACTACCAAATAAAAAATCTGTTATCATCAAAAGTGAGTGATGATTATATGACATAAAATTCCCTATCAAATATTTTTGTATTGTTGAGACTTAAGAGTCAAATCTCTTAGAACTAAAACTTAAAAGGTCAGTGTTAACATGTAATTAAGTACTTTTATATATTTTAGATTTGAGTGGTAAACAAATGAAAACTGTAAAGGTACGAGGTGTAACATTTCATATGGCTGCAGATGGTCACAGTTTACACAGAATTCGTACAGGTTAGTTGATTATGATGAATAATTCTGTACCTGTTTTATTACACTACCACTTTTAATCACAGTAGTATCCATATTTGCAACACAACATTGCGTCACAATACTCACTAATACTCGGTCCAGGGTAAGGTCTATGGCAGTGCATGTTCTCTCTGGTGAGACATCGGTGCACTGTATCGGTACTGATGGGTCTTCCATTGTTCCCACTGTCTGACGTACTATCTCAGATGCCTGTGTGAAGGGATTCTGCACGTCCTGTCGCACAACATGGTGGTCTTGTCGTCTTGTCGAGTCTTCCAAACACCTGGTTCCTCTGAGGTGTCATGAGTCCATGGTAAGGTCTACGGCAATGGATGTTCTCTCTGGTGAGACGTCGGCGCACTGTATCAGTACTGATGGGTCTTCCGTGTGTTCCTACCTCAGATGCCTGTGTGAAGGGATTCTGCACATGCTGTAGCACAACATGGCGGTCTTGTCGCCTTGTGGTAACCCTTTGTCTACCAGTTTGGGGGCGATCATCTGTGGTGTTGGTGGCCCGAAAATGTTGGTGAAGCCTGTAGATGGTTTCGAACATTGACCTGGAAGTGATTGGCAACGGCTTGGGCAGTGTGGCCAGCGTTGAGTATTCCAAGCGCCTGATTCCTTTGAGGTGTCGTGAGTCGTGGTATGCTGCTGACGTTGTAGTGTGATTGATTCAACCAGGTGTGGGCGTGCATTTTATACCCCCCCCCCCCCCTGTGAACAGCATGTGCAGTATGAGTTACATGAAAATCATGGAAAACACATTACCATCTCAAAAGTCAGGTTGCGTTTTTGAGAACATTTCCTGGGTTCAATTCTGTGTTTGGGAAGGAGCCTTATTGCTGAGGTAAAGTTGGAGATGTGGTCAAAAATATACAATAAAAGCATTTGGCAAGTTTTATGCAATGCTTCTATTCAGAGTAACATACCAACCTGACGTTTCTTTTGCTGCTTAGTGGACATAAAACTAATCACTTTCCTTCATGTCATTCAGTCTTCTTAATTTCTAAATCACTCTTCTTCTTATCGAAACTGGGAGAGCTTTTTAGGGGAGCAATTTTTTCAATTTGTTCACTTAGGGGAGCTTTTTTAGGCTCTCTAAAATACAAATAAAACAGCGACTGCCATTGCTGCTGGTCCTTTCAGATGTAATTCATCTTCAGTAATGAAAAGAACAGGCTATTGATTTCTGCAATTTCTGTTGACATTCAGGACAGTATTATTGCCCGTGATCTTTTAGTAGAATCATTCAAAATAGTACTAGTAGGCTGTGCGTGTAATGTTAAGTTTTAAAGTGCACATAAGATGGGCTTGGGAACTTTTCGATACGTGTAGCCAATGGTTACTATATCGACTTTACGGCAAGTTCACACCAATCTGATTGAAATTAATTCAGTTATCTTCACTCAAAGTCGTAAAAATAGACCTCCTGTAAAAACGACTTTGCCAATTATCGAAAACAGACGCCGGTGACGTCACAGTGACCAAATGCATATTCGGAATGTTTATGCCTTAATTACCTATATACAGCCGGCGTGTGTATTCATTAACGCTTGACTGATTCCTTAATCCCCCTAATTAAATAAAACAATTGACTACAGAATAATTTGTTTTGTAATTCATTTTAATTTAAGATCCAATTTAGAATTTGTTTCATAATGTACGCTCGCTCTTGTTTCTCACGACAGCAATTTTAATACCCTCTAACATCGTATGCAGTCCAATCGATTCGAGATACATTTTCGTCAAAAGAGTATTGTGGTTCTAATTTCCCGAGTAAAAGAGTACAGGAGTAAAAAGATGTGGTAATGCAAAATCTATACTTATATTTGTGACTGTCGTTTGTCTGTCTGTCTGTTTGTCTGTATGTTCGGGGTTGACGGCTACACTAGGTCTGCCCCGAGTCTGAAATTTGGGGTATAGGGGTAGCTCGGACCGGGGAGTAACATAGGCCAGGTGGTGTTAGTCTACCACTTTCGGTTTCGGGGTTATGACCCTCGGGCTGTTCGGGGTTGGCGGCTACACTAGGTCTGCCCCGAGTCTGAAATTTGGGTTATAGGGGTAGCTCGGACCGGGGAGTAACATAGGCCAGGTGGCGTTAGTCTACCACTTCCGGTTTCGGGGTTATGACCCCCGAGGGAAGCCGGGCATTCTGCTAGTGTATCATAAAAGTCAAACATGTTTGAAAAGCGATTTGTAAATGACGATCCGTTATCATCGTACGGCGGATTTGACTTCATTACTCTGAAATAGACTGTAAAAATGAAATACGAAAAAATATCTCAATATACGTTAGAATTAACAATACAAATAAAATTTGTGATAACCATCTAAATGGAATAACAGACAGATTCAGAAGGGTCATCTAACTATCTTTGTGTATTGATAATAATATGGCAAGTAGTGTCGTTAATATCTGTCATTAATTAATCAATCCGACTAAAGTTATACAGACTTGGGGTCATAAATTAATTTACATCTCGGTGTTAGCAGTGATTGTTAGTGGTATTAAGAATGCTGATTAGGTAATTATCATCTTTTTTACGCCGGCCAGATCAAAGACATCACTCTAGGTGGAACGTGTGCGTAGTACCCACGAATGAACTAATGGTAGAATCGTACACACACATATTAATTGTATAAAAAATAATTAAGTTTTACACATCAGTTGTTTATAATTATTATTTACCCAATAATAATTGCTCACCGGTGTTTTTGTAATCAAGTAGCCTTGTATTATTTGTTGACTGGCGTTTAAACAACATTTAATCGACTTGATATGAAATCTGAATATAAATTATTCGAGTGATAAACTTTTGTGATACGATTAGGTTATCTTCTTTATAATAAAAGTATTTTACAATTGCATTGACAGGTTAATCACTCACCAAACGGCATCAGGAACTCGGCGTATGATTAAGTGTATTTGATATTCATGTCCATGAATCCCATACAATTTTCGCGCCAAAGTTTAACCTCTGTTACTACGCCCTAGTGCATGTAACCGTACATAGCAATAAGATTCCCAGCGTTGATTGGCTGAGAAATGAGGGCGATCTATGCATGATCATCGGAAAATTCCATATTCGCTGTGAATTTCAAATGGAGTTACGTTAAAAGTTGTTCTTTGTGTATAGAAATGGTTAATATTATTATATATAGCTAATAATGAATATATTGACAATTGGCTGGGACCATTTGTATTTCTGTACTTATAGAGAGTAGTTTGGGATATCAAGTATTACAGGGTTATCTAAATTATCGGTAAATACGCTTATTGCTTAGGTCGTCTTCAGTTGTCCCGGGGCCTATTTAAACAATGGCACCTAATATGGATCTACGGTATGATACGGCATTTTAAATCCACTCTAAAATATTCCAATCACAGATGTCTAATCTATAACAACGCAGGTTGATAATTCTGTGATTATGATTATGCCAGTCACATGATAATTGTACTGACACGTACATAATTGTCAACTGGTGGTGTGTATTGTATAGATAATGTATATAGTATGTGTAGTGCCTGTGACGTCACCAGCCAATCAACCGGATTAAGGTTGTAATTGAAAATTTGAAAACCCTTTTTGGCTTTCGGATACTTAAACCTCAATAGCTGAATTAATTTTAATCAGATTGGTTCGAACTTGCCGTAAAATGGATATAGTAACCATTGGCTATAAGTACATTCAATTAAGATTTTTAATCTTATGTGGTCTTTAACATTTGGAATTTGAAATGGTTTTATTTGTCTACTGTTGTAGGTACAGATGAACAGACAACCAGTAAGAAACCTATAAATGAAGTTAAAGTTACAAGGGTTGATATTGGTGGTGTGACTTATATTCAGACTAAACCAGGAACGTTAGTTCGTATGACAACTACCAGAACAAGAGCAGTTGCTAGGTCTGTATTAATTTAAATATAAAATAACTTTGAGTTTGTCTGGTGAAATTCAACGGCAAAAGAATTTACCTGTCAGTTAAATTTATAAAGTCGTTCGTCTGTGCATCACAATAACTCGATGTACTAGAATATACAAACTTGGTGTATAGGGGTATATCTTCATTAGGTGAATGTCTTCACTAAGTTTGATGGTGAGCATTTTCTGCTTAGGCTAAGCAAATATAAGCAGTCAAGACTTTGGGACATACCTATAATAACCCCGTTTCTAACTGAAGCATGTTAACTTTTATTCTAATTGACTGAGAGTGATAAAACTGGTTGTATAAATTCATTAAATCCATACCTGTCTTTATTATGAGGACAAGTTAGGCAGAGTAACAGTTTGATTACTTGATGCTTTATGATTTTAAAGTAATTTGATGAGTGTCATCTGTTTATAACACCAACCAGGCTAATAAAGGCAAACATAAGCCATACAGTGTTATGAAAGAAATTTTGGCCAGACAGCAGCAATATTGCCTACACTTATTTTGATTTCCAATTGTCAAGGGTTCTTTTACGTTCGCGCCAACGTCCCATCTGAATGTCTAGACCCTGTCTCTTTTCAGGCCTTCTTTCCTCCTGCACACTGAGAACTTTCTCGACCAACACAGGGATCGAACTCCAGATCTCATGATAGTGAGCCAGAGCCTTACTAACTGAGCCACTGTTGCTCCTTCACACTTAAAAAAAGAGATTTCATTTACGATATTACCAATACTGTTGATTTATAGTAAGCTATGTTTCTCTCTTTGTTGTAGTCGTGTCATAAACAAGAGTATATCAACAGTTACTAATAAACTAAGAAAGAAAGTCAACAAACAGTATTGTATATTTTATAATCGCTTTGGTAAATGTAAGAGAGAAGAGAAATGTCCTCATATACATGATCCAGAGAAAATAGCAGTTTGTACCAGGTAATTATATTTACAGAATAATAATCTGAAATGTCCTAGATCTTGTAGTGATAAACTAAATACTCTTTATATCTAACTTCTGACACAAAGACATTTATACAGAACACTAGACACAAAATATACAACAGTGCGACGATTTCCCTTGCATTGTGTGGTCCTAGCGGATGTTCGATTCAATGCTTTGGAACTGCATTCTCTCTCCTTTCAAAGCTGTCAATAAATGAAACCGAAGAATTTGGGGCATATGATACTATCTCAACCAATTGCCATAGCTGAAACATTTGATTATGTCATGATTTCTGCTCACACCACATGTGTTTTCAATACTAAAAGAATAAGATAGACTTGATTGCAATTATGTCAATTCATCATGATTAAGAGTGGCCATCTAGCACCACCACAACATCCAGTTATGACTTAGTTTGTGTTTCTGTGTTGCTGGTTAGTTATGCTACAGTTCATTAAGCTTTTGTTAGATGGAAGCACCTATTTATTTCCATGGTCATAGTTTAAGGTCATCATTGACATTATTACACTATTGTTTCCTCACTAACAAGGGCTCAATTAGACCAGAATCACCAGCACCCATTGGTTTAGAAGTTCTCAGTTCTGGAACAACTGCCTAACTTACATGCTCTCCTAACAGAACACTTGAAGAGAAACATGAGTGGTGTCCAGTAAAGACTGATAAAATAGTTTATCGAATACAGCTTCCTAACTCTCTTACTTATGTTTTGATTCTCAGCATTAACATTCTGTAGGGAGAGATATTGAAATGGGGTCCGTCCGTCCATCCCACATCAACCTATTACAGTAGTTGTGTCTTTGCCATTTAGGAATTTCTGGGATTTATATTTTTTGTGTTTCCATGGAAACAAATTTGACTTAGTTTTTGGTGTACAATTTTGTTTCCGGAGCATATCTCATAAACAGTTCAAGATATCTTTTTGAAACTTTGTACACACATCATCCTTTTACAGTAGTTGTGCCTTTTGCTAATTAGAAGTTTGTCGATTTAATAATTTTTGCGCTGCCATGGAAAAAAAATTCTCTGTTGAATGATTTGAATTATTTTTTAGTATATAATTATTATTCTAGAGCATATCTCAGAAACTGTTTAAGATACCTTTATAACACTTTTACATATCAACCTATTATTTTATTTTTTGATGACCTTCCTTCTGTCCCGATTTCATTTCTAGAGCATATTTCATTATCTGTTCAGAGAAATCTTTTTAAAACTTTATATAAACATCAAACTATTAAAGTATTTTATTTTCTGATGTATAAGCTTGATGTTTAACATACAGCAGCTGATTGAGGTAGGCAAAGGTTGTTGTGCAAACCTTACAGGGAGTAGCAACTGGGCCTTGCCGAGCTACTATGATCAGAGTATGAATCTTCTGACTCATTAATATTCCAAGAAGTTGTTTTTCCTTATTCCTTCCAAACAAGTTCAACAGCTTGGGATGGTGATGACTAGTCATCTTGTTTTATTTTATTACAGATTTTTAAGAGGAACTTGTAATATAACAGACTGTTTATTTTCACATAAAGCTTCACAAGAAAAGATGCCAGTTTGTTCATATTTCCTAAAATCAAGATGTATGAAAGATGATTGTCCATACCTTCATGTTAAAGTTAATCAAGATGCTTCTATATGTTTAGCATTTATAAATGGCTACTGTCCAAGAGGCAAAGAGGTAATATAACTTACATTGTAATGTTCTTCTACTCTCTTGTATTTGGTTGTAAGGGGAAAAAAACGAGTAGAATAAAAATAGATGTCATTTGACATTTTGGAGATACTGTTAGTATTGTGTTTTTATATATGAAATTTGAAAGAGCATATTGACAAAGTAACTTATTTTGGGTCCTTCTTAATATAGATATTGATATCAATCAAGACCATACTTTCACTTACAGAACTTGAACTGCTATCAGATATGTTAACATTGGGTGCCCATTGTGGTTGTGTCACAACAAAGTGCACCTAAAAATAACTTCTTTTCTAAATCTAAGCTAGTGGAGTTTAAAGATACATTCCTGCATACAAACTGGGTGATTTGATGATATATTTGGACTAAAAACATATTCAAACTAATTAATTTATCATAATTTTGCTTCAAATCCTTCTCAAAACATTGTAATTGCCAAGGAATACCCTGCTATAAAAATCGATCAAAAGAGGTCATGTTTGTGTCACGTGACTTACCTCTCTCGGTACCTATAGCAACAGGGGCGAAGTCGGAGGAGAATTCATTGTATACACAAGACGATGTTGTCTTTAATCGCTGACTATTTATTACAAATATCTAATCCTAATTAAATTCTCGGATTATCCACTTCCCGCGTTTTTTTCCCTGTTGTTTATCTCAGAAAGTGTTGTACGTCTAACTCTTCATAAAGTTTATCAACATGTACACCAAGCGCTCAATCTTCGCGTGCAACCTTCGACGTCACTCGTGCAGGTATTCCTAATCGTCGGGCTGTCGATAAGGGGAATCATTACATTTTTGTCCTGTATATGCTCCATGAGTGTTTTTCAGGGAATCCAGTATTTTTTTAGTAAGATTGGATATCTCTACTTTCCATACATACCAAAATTGCCATACATTTATTGGAAATAACCACTCGATAAATACTATTCTGGGAACCTATCTTTAAATTAATTTTAAACTGTACCAAATGATCCAGCAAAATCAACAGTTCTATATCCCTTTATTAGAGATACATTAATTGAACTTGTGTATAATTTTGTTTTAAATAGAGTAATATTGTTTAAGGAATCCCATCTTATAGAGGATTGTATATTGTTATTTTGTAGTGCAAGAAACTTCACAGTAGACTTTGTCCTGAATATACTAACACAGGAATTTGTTCTAAGAGAGAGAAATGTCGATTACAACACAAGAAATATCAATTACAACACAAGAAAAATCGAAGAAAAAGTAAAGAGATAAAAGAAATTAATCAAAGGTAATTGGTGGTTGGAAGGGTGGGGAGTGGAGCTAAAAAACTGAATGATTTTACCAAAGTTTTAAAGTTTTTTCTTTGCTTACAACCCTCTCCACTTGGTTTTCCAACTTTGGATTTTTCTTTAGCCTCCCAACCCTCTCACAGTTGCATTTTCCCCTCTTTAATAAATTTATATACGTACATGTCACTCCGCCATTACGTCACAATACTAACTGTAAACCAAAATGGAAGCCTGTCATGAATGTGGGAAAACTCTATCCAAATGGTGCCACCTACTACTACACATAAGAGAAAGACATCGACCCACCTTTTTAGAGTGTGAGAAATGTGGAAAACAGTTCCGCAGAAAAGAATATCTTAAACACCACTGAGGAAGCAAATAAATCACCTATGGTAACTGACATTCTACAAATTTTAATAGATAACACCATAGGAGATTTAGAACATTCCACCCCAATTACCATCTGCTCGGCTGTCACCATCGCAGCCACCAAGGCTCCACCTCTTCAACACATGACACCTGATGAAGCCTCACCCAGCACGAACCAGAGCCACAATACCATTATGGCCACACCATTCCTGCAATTGGGATGATTATACCTCCCCAAGCCTAATCTGAGTGGAAACTTGGAACACCATTCGCTCCAGTAGAAGCAATAACTGGAGGGATAGAGACCCAGATCTAAACCCTCTCTTCGGGGTCCCGATCCAAACTACACTAGTAGATGCAATCCATGAGGACCCTTCAATAGAATCCCAGCTTTTGGATACAGATTTTTACCATTCTTCATTTATTTCTGGTTTATTTCCTGATAATACATCCTGTGTTTTCTTCTTTTCCTTTGCTCTCTCCCCCAACTGTTCTTCATTCCTCTTACTGGGACCTTCATTATTATTTTCTTTACCCTGGAACTATGCCCCTCTCATTTTGTTTTGGCATATAGGGATACCTATGATCCCCACCCCGATTTCTTAGGCTACACATAAACTCCGACTGATTCCCAACCCATGTACCAGGCAGACTTGTGAACCTTGGTAAAATACCATCCTCAGTAGTAGCAATCCCAGTAACCCGGCCAAAACAGAAACCCCATTGAAATTCTACCGGGGTCCCAACACATCACATATAGAACCTCACAAAGCGAGATTAATCAGTCTGAAGAGTTCAATATGAATGAAATTAATAACTGGTCAAATTGCCCATTTTTATCTAATCTGATTTTCCAGTAACTTGAACACCTAAAGTCAATATCTGATTACCTGTACATGATTTGTATAATAAATTTTAGCTTTACGAAGTACGAGAATTACTTTTATTAATTACAAATTAAGTTTTTATACGCCCACATGTGAAATGTGGTCGTATATTGCTGTTGCCCCCGTTCGACCGCCCGTCGGTCATTCACAATTTCTTGTGAACACTCTACAGACTACATTTATTATCTGATATGTTGTTGATATTAGTGAGATGAAGAAGCCTATTGATTTTCAGTGATTTCCGATAATTACTGCCAGAGTTATGACCCTTGATCACTTTGAAAAATCTTGTAGACGCTCTAGAGGCTAAAGTTAATATTCGATTGACTTTAGATTTATACATAGTATTTAATGTCATGAGATGAAGAAGCCTAAGCCTATTGATTTTCAACGATTTCCAATAATTACTGCCAGAGTTATGGCCCTTGATCACATCAAAAAATATTGTGGATGCTCTAGAGGCTAAAGTTATCATCCGATTGACTTTAGATTGATACAGAGTTTTAGGTCTTGAGACGAACAAAGTTATTAATTTTCAATACATTTTGATAATTTGAAGAGCTAAATCCATGATATTGAATGTATCGTATACTAAACATTAGCATGGAGGAGAACTTTATAAAAGCCAAACATATTCTAATAATTTTCTGATAATTACTTAATGAGTTGTTACTCTTAATCAGATTTTAATGTATTATAAATGTTTCAATTACCAAAAAAAGTAAAAATCTGCGACAACTCTTGTTGACTGCCCGGGCGATTTAGCTGCTGTGGGCGTATATTTTGTTGCCTGGCAACCTATCTTTACACATTGTGTCTTGTATATGCTCCCATTACCTACAATATAAATAAATAATTGACTACCTTTGTGGACTGCCCGGACGACCTAGCTGCAGTGACGCATGTTCCATAATCTGGCAACCTATCTTTTATATAACAGGTATTTTAGCCAGCCAACTATGTCATCAGTAAAAAAAGATAAAGTTGATATCAATAAAAACGATGTAAAAAAATCTACAGCATTACCAGAATTTATTTCATTAGCTGAATATGGTTCACCTCAACTTGACTACAAACCACCTCATATACCTAGAAAATCACTCTTTGATGGTAAGTATATGTTCTTATATTATATGTCCACCACATTTCTTAAAGGTGGAGGGGAGGGAGGAAATTAATATGGATTTGCCTGTCTACTCTGCTGCTAATGGAAGTAGAATGTTAAAACATGGTGTAGATGTTCATTAGGTGAACAGTTTTATGAGAATTTTCTGCTGCAGCACGGATTGCACATTATTTATACAGCATTTAGTCAGAAATTCTCATAAAGGAGGGCAGGAGAACGAAATTATTGAATTGATATTAAAATGTACAACCCTAAAAGTGCAGAAACAGGGGAATATACAATTTGTTGGGGGTCATTTCATATTTTAATTGGTGTTATTATAACTAATTGTAATGGTCATTGAAATTTGTGCTATTATATTCTGATGTTTATTACACTAATTGTGGATCTTTGTGTATCCAGGTATAAAGCCTAGAATATTAAATTCGGTAAGTTTTATTAGTCATTTTGTTATTGTATGTCTTAAAATTAGTTTGTATGTCTTTTAAAGATGCATTATGTAAGAGGTAAATTTGCCTATTGCTGAACTTTCTTTTGGCTTCAAATGTTATATAGATAATTATTTAGACATTTATTAACATGACAAAGATATATTCGACTCCTAGAGGATCGGATGGCCTAGATTTAAATGGATTTAAACATCTGTGAGATTTAAAAATTCAACGATAAAATGGACAATAGAGGTTAAGTCTCAGTTGTCAAGTACCGTTGCTACAATAATGAAAATCTATGCTATATCTTCAAACAGTCGTAACTTTGGTCAGAATGAAATTTTCAATATATTCATTGTTATACTTCCACATTGAAATGTGGTCGTATATTGTCGCCGCCCCCGTCCGACCGGCATCCACAAGTGCTTGTGGACGCTCTAGAAGCTGAAGTTAATATCCGATTGATTTTAAATTTATACACAGTGTTTAAGGTCATGAGACGAAGAAGCCTATTGATTTTCAGCGATTTCCGATAATTACTGCCAGAGTTATGGCCCTTAATCATTCAAAAAATCTTGTGGACGCTCTTGAGGCTAAAGTTAATATCCGATTGACTTTAAATTTATACGCAGTGTTTAAGGTCATGTGATTGAAGAAGCCTTTTGATTTTCAGCGATTTCCGATAATTACTGCTAGACTTATGGCCCTTGATCACTTCATAAAATCTTGTGGATGCTCTAGAGACTAAAGTTGATATACAATTGACTTTAGATTTATGCACAGTGTTTAAGGTCATGACACGAAGAATCATATTGAATTTCAGCGATTTATGATAATTACTGCCAGAGTTATGGCCCTTGATCACTTTGAAAAATCTTGTGGACACTCTAGAGGATGCTCTAGAGACTAAAGTTAATATCCGATTGACTTTAAATTTATACACAGTGTTTATGGTCGTGAGACGAAGAAGCCTATTGAATTTCAGTGATTTACGAAAATTACTGCCAGAGTTGTTGCCCTTGATCACTTTGAAAAATCTTGTGGACGCTCTAGAGGCTAAAGTTGATATCCGATTGACTTTAGATTTATACACAGTGTTTAAGGTCATGAAACGAAGAAGTCTATTCATTTTCAGCGATTTTCGATAATTACTGACATAGTTATAGGCCTTAATCACTTCAAAAAATCTTGTGGATGCTCTAGAGGCTAATGTTAATATCCGATTGACCTTAGATTTATACACAGTATTTAAGGTCATGAGACGAAGAATTCTATTCATTTTCAGCGACTTTCGATAATTACTGCCAGAGTTATGGCCCTTGATCACTTCAAAAAAATGTGTGGATGCTCTAGAGGCTAAAGTTAATATTCGATTGACTTTAAATTTATACACAGTGTTTGAGGTCATGAGACAAAGAATCCTATTGATTTTCAGCGATTTCCGATAATTATTGTCATAGTTATGGTCCTTGATCATTTTGAAAAATCTTGTGACGCTCTAGAGGTTAAAGTTATCATCCGATTGACTTCAGATTGATACACAGAGTTTTAGATCTTGAGACGAACAAGTATATTGATTTTCAATGAATTTTTATGATATTAAAAGTTTTGTATACAAAACAATAGCATGGGGCAGAACTTTATAAAAACAAAACAAATTCTAATGGTTTTCTGATAATTACTTAATTAGTTGTTACTCTTAATCAGATTTTAATGTATTATAAATGTTTCATTACCGAAAAAAGTAAAAATATGCGACAACTCTTGTTGACTGCCCGGACGATATAGCTGCTGTTGGCATGTTTCGTTGCCTGGCAACCTATCTTTTATTATGTAGCGATTTTGAACTATTATAACAAGAATGTCCAGCTCTTTGTCTAAATCTTAAAGAATGCATCTTTATTGTAGTAAGAATAATAGTATTAAGCCCCAGTATACTAGAATAAAGGCTAAATATAAAGGGGTTTAAAAGATCATACACAATCTAAGATCATACACAAACAATATTTTGGGTCCAAAAATTAAAATCAATTCATGATGTCTGAAGCAAAAGCCACTTTAAGTTGACTGGTTCTATTGATTTCTTACCACCATCATTATTTCTCTTGGACAAGTATAATATTAATAATGATTTTAACAGCCATCTGTCAAATGTTTCCTTTGTCCATCCCCATTTTTAAAGGCCCACAATAATCACTAATCTGGAGGTTACACCTTTTAGCAAAACATTTACGATTTATTTAGATAAGTTTACAGCATGATGCCTCTTTTGATTTAATGATTCGTGAACATGTAACACATTATTTTTAATACGCTATCATGAATAGATATTTATATAGAAATGTGAAGAGAAAAGTGCACTTTCAGTTTAAAATATTGTAGAAATAGACAAATCCCTTCAACCATTATCATATGATTTTTTTCAAAAAGAATATCAGATTTTTTCTGGTGGGTGTTATTTGATCTCATTGTTGGTCAGCTTATTAACTTATTCTCCATCTCATGTCAGAGCAGTAATAAACAGGTTGACAAGTGAAGTATTAAGCATTGAATATCTAGGAAGTTGATCTTGTTCTAGAAACATGTCCAGTTCTTATGACTTGGTATCTATCAGGGAGCCACAGTGGCTAAGTGGGTAAGACGCTGGCTCGCTTGCCTGGAGGTCGCATCTTCAATCCTTGCATTGGCCGAGAAAGTTCATCAGGATTTTCCGGCGTGGTTCAGGACAGAGGGCCTGACAAGGACAACTGTCTAGTCAATCGGATGGGACGAAAAACAGAGGTCCCATGTATACATTGGCATGCACGTAAAATATCCCTTGGCAGCTGGAATTAAGTAGGCCATAGTACTGCTCTCCGGGCAAAATTTTCTTCATAGCACAGTCTATGGCGTATGCCCGTCTTCATTAGCCCAGATTGAGCAGAACAATAGGACGTTAAACCACATTTTATTTCATTTCGGTATCTGTCAGGAGTAATAATTTATAATAATCAACATTTTAGAAAAATTTTAATAGAATTTTTTGATTTCTTCTGTTCAAGAAGAATAAAATATGTAATTCATAGTCATGAACTTATTGATATTTAATGGAACAAAATATTTGAATGAATGTTTCAGATATTTGAAAGTATATTCCATAAATATATCAATAACTATTGTCCAAATTTTATAAATTGTACTTTAATTATGCTTATATTTCCAGCCTGGTGACATTCAGACCTCATACATAACTCAAAACCAAAACTGCTATCTTAGTTCATTTCTTTAATATGTACCCAATGTTTTCAATTAATAATAGGTAGTCGATAGTAATATGTTAAACATACATTATGCAAGAGCTAAATCTGCCTATTGCAGGTCTTTCTTTAGGCCTGAAATGTTATCTAAATTATTAATTAGACATTAATTAACTTACCCAGATAATCAACTCTCGATGATGTCATCGCTAGCCTGTGATATTTACTGGATTTGAATCCTATTTGCTGCTCAACACTCATTGATGATTTAATCAAAAAATGGATAATCGAGACTGTTATTTTATCGTACCGACTTTAGTAATGATGGTCAAGGCTAGGCCTAAAATTCAAAAGCTAAAATCTTGGTTCAGAGTGGATCAATTTGACTGAAATTTTCAGCAAATTCCCTTTACATTATCTAATTGAAATGTGGTCGTATATTGTTGTCGCCCCCGTCTGTCTGTCCGGCGTCCACAATTGCTTGTGGACACTCTATAGGCTAAAGTTAATATCCAATTGACTTTAAATTTATACACAGTGTTTAAGGTTATAAGACGAAGAAGCCTATTGATTTTCAGCGATTTTCGATAATTACTGCCAGAGTAATGGCCCATGATCACTTCAAAAAATCTTGTGGACACTCTAGAGCTCAAAGTTAATATCCGATTGACACAGTGTTTAAGGTCATGAGACGAAGAATCCTATTGATTTTCAGCGATTTCCGATAATTACTGCCAGAGTTATGGCCCTTGATCACTTCAAAAAATCTTGTGGACACTCTAGAAGCTAAAGGTAATATCCGATTGACTTTAAATTTATACACAGTGTTTAAGGTCATGAGACGAAGAAGCCTATTCATTTTCAGCGATTTCCGATAATTTTTGCCAGAGTTATGGCCCTTGATCACTTTGAAAAATCTTGTGGATGCTCTAGAGGCTAAAGTTAATATCCGATTGATACACAGAGTTTAAGGTCTTGAGACAAACAAGTATATTGATTTTCAATGAATCTTTTTGACTTGAACAGCTAAATCCATGATGTTAAAAGTTTCGTATACTAAACGTTAGCATGGGGCAGAACTTTATAAAAACCAAACAAATTCTAATGGTTTTCTGATAATTACTTAATGAGTTGTTACTCTTAATCAGATTTTAATGTATTATAAATATTTCATTACAGAAAAAAGTAAAAATATGCGACAACTCTTGTTGACTGCCCGGACGATATAACTGCTGTGGGCGTATGTTTTGTTGCCTGGCAACCTATCTTTAACTATTATAGTGAGACCTACCAGCTCTTTACTTAATCTCCCATAATGTATCTTTAATAAATTATATTTGATAGCAGTTTTGGTGTTTTACGGGCATCTGAAACCATCCACGAATCATCATATTGTATACAAGTTGTATACAATCCAAACACAGTAAGTACACATTCAGTTGATGAACTGATCTGATTAATATCAAGGTATTCAGTGGAAATTTTATTGTGAATTTCCACCAATGAACACTGGAGTTTATGTTTAAGGATGGTTTTGCCGTATGATTATATAATTGCTCAATTCTTTTCTGTTGATTCAGCTTTATTTTTGGCTTTTCTCTTCTTGAGGAATGGATATTACAACAATAATTTCAACCATTAAAAGAGCTGGCCAAAGTTAAAGTACATTGATTATGTGAATGTGATTTTAATGTTATAGTTCAAATGACTTACATATTAACATGTTTTATGTGGATGGTATTTATCAAAATATCTCAGGTCATTTGCTCTAGAACTAAACATAATAATAATACATATTTTTATACACCCACATTTTCATAAGGACATATATTGTCGTCATCCCTGTCTGTCCGTCCACAATTTGTTTGTGGACACTCTACATGGCACAATTTTTATTCAATTTTGACGAAACTTAAAATATAGATCTATCTCCCCAAAATCTTGGTTCCTTTCGATATTGGCATACATCGGACCATAACTTCATGGATTATGGCCCCTGATTGTATGAAAAATCACGTTTTCAGCCTGTGGACACTCTACAGGTTACAGTTTTCAATGGATTTTGATGAAACTTGAAATGCATGTTTAAAACCCAAAGATCTTGGTTCCTTTTAATATTAGTACATATTCGGTTGTAACTTCTTGAATTATGGCCCTTGATTGTACGAAAAATCTTGTTTTTAGCTTGTGGTTCCTCTACAGGTCTCAATTTTTATCCAATTGAAAAAAAACGTTTGAATACATCACCGTTACATCCTAATAATTGCAGAGTTCGAATTTCGTGAAAAAGGGACCGAAACTGCCGGACAAAGATCTTGGTTCCTGTCGATATTCGCGCATATCGGATTGTAACTTCTTGAATAATGGCCCTTGATTGTACAAAAAATCTCTTTTTGTTTAGCTTGTTCTCTTGCAAAATGTGGACGTATCTGCCTGGCAGTCGCTGGTATTTTTATACGCTACATTGAAATTTGGTCGTATATTGTCGTCTGTCTGTCCGTCTAAAGTGTAAAGTTAGAGGCTAAAGTTAATATCCGATTGACTTTAAATTTATACACAGTGTTTAATGTCACGAGACAAAGAAGCCTTTTGATTTTCAACGATTTCCGATAATTACTGCCAGCGTTATGACCCTTGTTCACTTTGAAAAATCTTGTGAATTCTCTAGAGGCTAAAGTTAATATCCGATTGACTTTAAATTTATACACAGTGTTTAAGGTCATGAGACGGAGAAGCCTATTGATTACTGCCAGAGTTATGACCCTTGATCACTTTGAAAAATCTTCTGAATTCTCTAGAGGCTAAAGTTAATATTCGATTGACTTTAAATTTATACACAGTGTTTAAGGTCATGAGAAGAAGAAGTCTTTTGATTTTCAACGATTTCCAATAATTTACTGATATTTTCGATGATTTCCAATGATTATGGAAATTGATATTAAATGTTTTGTATGCTAAATGTTAGAATAGGGCAGAACTAGAAGACAAATGGGTTGTTACTTGTAATCAGATTTTACTGTGTTGTAAATGTTTTCATTTCTGACAACAACAAAAAAAATGTGGCGACCCTTGTTGACACCCCGGACGACTTAGCTACTGTGGCCGTATATTTTGTTGCCTGGCAACCTATCTTTTGAAATATGCGTAGTTAATTTTATGCAATCTATGTACACCTGTTATTTTGAAATGTATGTATGAAATTATATTTTATGATGAAGAAAAAAAGAAAAATACAGATTTTAATCAACTTTTTTTCGTTTTGTTTTTTTCCTCCCTAAAGTTAAAAACAGTTGTATGTCATTTCGAATTTTAGAAAATTAGTGAATTTTCGTGGGATTTGTTTCACGTGAAAATTTATTATTTAATATTTAATTAAGCAAATGAAATCAAAATAACAATTGTAGATAATCCCCCAGCTTAGATTCAGTTGGATTAAAAAGGGGCACATGAAAGACTACATGTGGTTTTGACTTTTGACCATATCCCATTTATATATCTGCAGATATCATATCTTTGTAATTGAATTGAACCATATTTGGACTGATATTTCTTCTAGAGATTCAACTTTCACAGTATCATAGTTTTTAAGTGATACAAAGACACTCAAATTTAATGATTGCCAGAGCATAATCATGTAAGTGGCATTGGGAAACATATTGAGAGAACACAATTTATATGTGTAACACATCACCGATATTATTTCTAAAAGCAGGTTTCGACAAATATCCTCTTATTGATAACAATGAGAGAATACTTGTAATGTGCTTTTAGAATAAAATCAGTGTTTCCCACAAAAACTGTGTTCTTAATGATCAGAGACTTTAAACAGGTCATTACAAGTTGAAAAAGTGCACTTTCAGTGCAAACCCCCATAGAAACAGAAACAATTCCATAACCACCATTACCATAATTTCGCAAGAATTGCCGCTGATATCCACACACCTTACCGCAGATACTCATTTAGCCACCGTGTCTCCTTAAACTGAGACATGAATTTGTGACTCAACAACAAATATGTCCCAAATTTGAATCCTGCTTGTCAGGAGTGGTGCAGAGTCCCCCTGCCGTAGATTCGGTGAACCGTCCGTTTTTCGGGTCATGTATTTCCGCTATGGACACATACATCAGAGAATGAAACCATATATCATAGAAATATAATTGTAAAATGAAATCGATTGAGGTTTACGTTTTGAATACTATAATAGACCGGCTGCCTAAACCTTCAAACTCCAACGAAGGAGATACCAAAGTTCACCTATAGCGCTATTTAGGGGTCTTTCCCTGTACAATAAAATTGACGTCTGTCAGCTTATATCAGGGGCCTGACCTCAGTAGCCCCCCATAACTGACCCCTAAAAACATGTCTGTATCCAACATTAGAGGTACTGAGTGAAACCAATTTATACATGATAAATGAGGTGTTTTAATTATGGAAACAGTAATGACAGACAATATTGGGGGTAACACCCCCCTGACAGACATAACCTAAAGGGGGTCTATATGGGTCTAGATCCAATATTGGAGATACCAACTAAAAATTTGTCAGATTAAGGGCCATTTTATAGTAAATCATCTACTATGAACGGCAGACATTTAAACAGTGCTTGCCCCCTAACAGACGCCCTCTAGTGAGGAATATTTATGTTGAGATACCACACCAAATTGATTTCTATATTACCTTAGTGTACTTTGAATAAGTTACAGTAGTTGACAGACATTTTAAATGGTGCTTACCCCCTGACAGACGCCCCCCTAGTGAGCCATATTTATGTCTTTAGATCCCCTTTAGTGATCTGCGACAGACAAGAATTTTTGAATTTTGTGCTGCGTTTCTCCCATTGCATAGTTTCATTTGTATAAATCCAAAATCAAATTTTGCTGTAAAATGCCGCTATGGCCTATATATGGAAAATAAATAATCATGTGATAAAAAATGAATTTTTTAAAATTTTATTAGCGCAACTATTTATATCCAACATACTCGTCTGATTTGGTAGGATGAACTGTCATTGAATTGTATGCTGACGCGGATGGGTGATGGCTCAGTTTTTGTTGACTTTGTGGTGCTGAGTAGCAGGATTTTGGTTAAATTTTGAAAACAATTGTTTGAGATTGCATTATGTGTAGGATAAAGCACGAGACTGGGGTTATGCTGGGGAAAGAAAGGCTGAAGAAAATAACCCGAAAAAAGAAAAACCGAGGCCGGTTTGAGAATATCCCAGAATTCCAATAAGAAAAAGCTTAGATCATGTTTTCTTATGGAAAAAAACCTACCCTGGAAGAATAACCTGTTAGAGGTTTAAAGAAAAACTTTCAGAAGAATAACCCTAAATTACCCTGTATACATCCACTGCCGCCCCCGACTTTCAGACCGCAAGTTATTCCGGGCATAGAATATACACCAAAGATCAAAAGAGATTTACCGTTACAGGTTCATAAGGAGTACATAATATTATGGTCACAAATATTGAGGGACCGTTGGTAAGTGTTGTGATGGTGGCTTTCTTGGTCTGATACAAGTCGTTGGTTTGTAATGGAGATACTGGTTGTAGTGGGCTAGTTTCCTATAAATTAGTTTGGAGCGATTTATTGTTTCTTCTCATAATGACATATAGAAAGGGGAGACTGTTGTCTTGTTCTGTGACCACGGTGAACATAATTTCATTATGTTGTGTGTTGCAGTGGTCTAGTACGGAGAGGGGGGGGGGGGCGTGACCATGTCAACAACATCGTAGGAGACGGACCTACTACGTTTAGGTTATTGCAAAAGTCTTTGGAGTCACGTGAGAATAAATATTTCGAAAGGTTTTGGGCTGTTTTGTAGACGGCAGTCAAAGGAGCACACGTGTAACCTGGTTTTGAGTGGATTTTGATGGTGGCAATTGTGTCTCGGGTCTTTGGTTTGATGAGCAGAAATGGGGTCTTTCGTTACCCATGTGTAGTTTGATTCTTCTTGAAGAGTGTTGATAATGCTGACGCAGTCAGGTGTATCCATTATTACAGCTACCGTCTCTTTGTCCGCAGGTACTTTTGTGATTACCCTGTCTTTCTGAAGTTATTTGAGGGCTTTAGGTGTGGTTGTTGGGTTGTCACCTGTGAGGAGGCTAACATTGATAACAGTTTTGGTAACATATTCATTCTGGGATGTTTTAGAAGATGCTTGGGTTGAGTTTTAGTTAGTTGATATTATTGGTATGGTTACATTTCAAAAGGATGTATAGTTTTGCATTTGCTTCAATCTGTTTTGAAGGATGTTATATGATGCACCAGGAGTTATGTGCGGGCGAGCTGGTTACGCAGAACTTCATATAATTTGAAGTGTTTTTCATACCCTAATAGCGACGAGAGAATCTGCATCGACACTTCGCCAAAAATAAACATCTTAGTAACCTGTGATTTTTACAACTGTGTCATGTCGGAAATGTTGTGTATAAGGTAATTCAATAGTCAGTGAGCAGCTAAAATGACTAGTATACGCCCTCGTCTGGATCAGAATTGGATTCGTGTGTCAAGGTTTTATGACTAGAATAGTTAAAATCATCCGTTCTCGCGAACGGATTTACAGTTTGTACGTTCCACGTGGCAAGGATACTTCATCACTGTAAATGCCTGGGAGTGACCATTTATGATTTGTTGGAATATGTTGATTGTTTTTAGATACATTCTATACGTTAGTCATGTGGTAATGTAGAACAGCTTTTAGGGTGGAGCAATTAGATTTCTGGTTGGGATATGCCACTATTGAAACAATCTGGCTACTGCCATTCATATGCTGAGCATTTTGCAACAAGTTTCGTGCGATAAGTAAATAGGCTTATCTGGGTTACAGCCTTTTGTGTGGGGAAATAAGAACGTCTGGATGGGACGGCAGAAGTTTGCCCAACCAACATATTTGAAGTATTGTGTTAGTTTCCCACAATAACGAGGTAGTGTTTAGTTAGTATTGGGTAAATTGCCCAGCCCGACGACGATACCCCACCACTGAAAATGTCTGGGGGTGGTCATTGTTTATACATATGAATTTGCTGAACACTTTTCAACATGTTTCGTGTGGTTAGTAAATGAGCGATTATGGACGCCTGACGAACCCCACCACTGACAATATCAGACAGTTGGCACCAGTACTCACTCTGGCTTCCATTTTTTTTTCGCCAATTTTTCATTTGAATTTCTGTATTTGCTTTTTTATATAATATTTTGTCAACTAAAACCTTTTTCACAGTCTGCAGTTGCCAAGATCTACCTTTTCCAAACGCTCTTAAGATTTTATGTTTTTGAATTTTTCTCTGTCGCAGACTTTTGAGGTACATGCAGACCTAGTGTGGAAGTTGATATCGCTTCAACATTTAAGGATGTAATATTATCAGATGGGCGAGAGCTGATCATGTCAGTATTATCTGTAGACTTGGCACTTTTGATGCACGTGACGATGGTAAATGCGCTGAACTAGCTTAGCATTTGGGATGAGGCAGGAGCAGTTATGGGCGCCTTTACAATTAGTATTTCCCAACATTGGAATCAATTCACTGATTTTATCGATTGTCTAATAACAGAAAAGCATTTGTGATGCACAAAAATATTATCAGCATGCCGAAAATTGTGAATTTTATAATATAAGTCGAATGGGCACGAAAACCAGAACGTCTGTAACTTTTTTGGCCAAGGTCGATTTTGGTGGATTTTTTTTCCTGAAGTTGTACTCATATAGACCTTTCATAAAAAGCAAAAATCATTTGTTTCGGATTTTTTCCCCAGCTCACCTAAATCTGAGGTTCTCCTACCGGCCTAATAATCCGTAACATATTGGCAAGCAAAACAATGAAGTTCGAGATGGGGTCTATTGAGTCATTATACAAGTTCTAGGAAATATATCAATAGATTGCTTTTAGGTACCCACTAGAAATGTTCCTTACTTGCCTGGGGTTGTTTGTGTTTCTATGAATGCCTGCTACTACAACGTCACGACGTCGTGAAACAACGTCTTTCAATAATGGGGCTGGTTTAGTAATGCTTAGCACTAGGGGGCGTCTGTCAGGGGGTAAGCACCATTTAAAATGTCTGTCAACTACTGTAACTTATTCAAAGTACACTAAGGTAATATAGAAATCAATTTGGTGTGGTATCTCAAACATTGAGTCTGGCACCAACATAAATATTACTCACTAGAGGGCGTCTGTCAGGGGGCAAGCACTGTTTAAAATGTCTGTCGTTCATAGTAGATGATTTATCATTAAATGGTCCTTAATCTAACAAATTTTTAGTTGGTATCTCCAATATTGGATCTAGACCCATAGAAAACCCCCTTTAAGACATGTCTGTCGGGGGGGGGGGGGTACCTCCAATATTGTCTGTCATTACTGTTTCCATAATTAAAACACCTCATTCATATTGGATCTAGCCCCATAGAGACCCCCCTTTAAGACATGTCTGTCAGGGGGGTGTTACCCCCAATATTGTCTGTCATTACTATTTCCATAATTAAAACACCTCATTCATCATGTATATATTGGTTTCACTCAGTACCTCTAATGTTGGATCCAGACATGTTTTTAGGGGTCAGTTTAAGGGGGGGGGGGGGCTACTGCGGTCAGGCCCCTGATATATGCTGACAGACGTCCACTTTTATTATTCAAGGCAATAGCCGGAACTTGCTATAAAGGCTGCCAAACTATAAGTGGGACTTTGTGGAAAACTCGTTTTAGTTAATGATTGATTCATTCTGATAATTTCTCAACAAGTGGAATGCAATTATCAATTAAAGGGAAGCAAATCTTCTTATCACAACGTCCATATCAGGTCGCATATACAATCTGAAATTTAAAATCTATGAGTATAATATCCCAAAGATCTCGGATGGGTATGATCGGACGGTAACGTTCTGGATTATTGCCACTGAAAGGCGTGCATAGCTTTATTCGATCTTGAATACCGTTCAGATAACAATGTTCCATTACACAAAAATCGAACCGTAACTTTCCGTTAAAATCCCACCCACCGTCGAATATAGTGGCTTAGCATGTAAAACATTTAGACCAGCAAAGACTTAATTAAGTACAATAGATTTGAGGAGCCGAGGCTCGCTAATCTGAAGTTCCCGTGTTCGATCATGTTGTTGGCCGAATAAGTTATTGGGATTTTCTGGCGTGGTTTCTCTTTGTCAGTGGTACCTGGAAAAGAACAACATATAGTCGTTCGGATGGGACGAAAATCCAAAGTCCAATATAGGCCTACACATTGACGTGCATGTAAAAGAACGGCTGGCAGTTGAAATTTGGGAAACCCGAGGTCCCTTACAGTTGGAATTCGACACAAGTTTCATGGATTTACTCGATATGCATTATAAAGCCAATTCTGGCGGTAATGTTAACAGTGCTCCGTGGCAATGTCACGAATCAAACATATCTACTAATTCCCGACCTCAAACCTTTTGTACTTGAGATGTTAATTAAATCTTTTCTAGCACCTGGTAACAATTTTTGTTCGATTTAGATCAAGCTAGATATGTATTAAGGATCAATTTTGGTGTGCATCGGGCGGAAACTTCATGGGTTATAGCCCCTATACCTTTTACGCAAAATCTAAAATATGTACAAAGGTTGTGGACCCTCCAGGGGCCTCAACTTTTATCCGATCCAGACAAAACTTAAATATAAGGATAAACAAGTCTTGGATGAATTTGATTTTGGTACGCCACAGATCTAAACTTCTTGGGTTATGGCCCCTGCCTTTTACGCAAAACGTTATATATGTACAAATTTTGTGGACCCTCTTAGAACTTAAAATTTTTGTGAAACGATCATGGACGAGTTTTATTTTGGTGTGAATCGGATTTCCGTTACGGAGTTATGTCTTCTTTTCCGAAAACCCTATGAACGAGATATAAAGGCTATAGTTTTTAGTTGATTTTTGTCAAATTTGAATTGAAGGTTCATGAGAGGACGAACCCTATTGATAATCAGCGTTCCGCTACCATAGTTCCAGAGTTATGTCCCCTTAGCCGAAAACTTTGTGAATACGACAGAGGTTACCGATTTTGATAGACCTTTTTTTAAAAAAATATGGTGTGAATTATTTGGTTCATGAGGACGACACCTATCGATATTTAGTGTTAAGCAACCTCTCATTCCGGAGCCCATCCGCACTCCACCCTTGCCGCGATAGCGGCTACAGTTTTTATCATTTTTTTCTTTACAAATTCGGAATGCAGCATGGGACAAAGGGAGAATGAATCCTATCGATTTCCCAGTTCTCCGTCCATCTCTTGCAAACTGTGGGCATACCTTGCATGGCAACCGCTTGTTACTCCTCTCATAGTATCCCACCCATTGTCGGACTCACCTTGCACAATTCCAATTTTATTCCCTCTTCATGGCAAAATACCAAACTGTGTGTCGGCCTTTAAAATCAATTAGGTATTGACTGTTGATTATAACCTATTAACCATACTGAGTCGAATTGATTTGTTTATCAAGTAAACATATGATACCAATGTGGTACAAGGGTCACTTTGGGTATAATATGGCTATTGGCCGAAAATTTTGTACCCATAAATATTATTATTGATAATTTGTGCTTTAAACACACAACATATTATTTGACATTGCATTATGATAAGAGTGTCGCCATCAGGTAACGTTATGTTATTTTGGACTATAATCCCGATAACCAGAATTATAAATATCTAGTTTTGCAATACATGGTTTACATATTAAACTAAATTTTGTGATTTTGTATTTATTTGGATATTTGACTCTAGTCGTACACAAAACTAAAACAGGTTATAAGTAGTTCCGAATACTTATTCAAAAATCTATATTTGGTCTATTGTTAATACAGATGTTATTTCAAAGTTAATATTTGAATATAATTTTATCGACTTTGTGAATAGATATTATATTACATACAATAAGCCGAGTTTACTAAATATACAGTAGTGGTAATTATTTATACAATTCTCGTCATACATAGTTAGAACCATGTGGATTAAACGGGGTATTCCCTGGGGTATCCTGTTTAAATTAATTACAGGGCCAATCCTATAAATACCAAATCAATTGTTAAAACTGCACATTTTATTTGTCGTTAGACCTCTATAGGCATGAAAAATATAAAAGTCTTTTATCAGACAGTAGTAACTAGTATGTATGACCCGGGGAGTAAAATCTGTTTTGTTTTTCTAAAAATATTGAGGCCAAATATAAGATATCATATTCTCAATCTATTCGCTTGACTTGATATCGTGACATTAAGACGCCGGTTCTTGTTGTGGTGGGATTTGAAGCCACCGATGAAAGTAACGAATGTCATGTTTGAATAGATGTCTTGGACATTTTAATGGATATTATTGAAACTATTTATTAACACCTGCAATAAAATCTGAAGTTAGAACGTAAAGATTCAAGAAAAAACATGAACCATATTGCACAACCATATGCCATTCGGCTTCAGCGACATTCCCGGATTTTAAAAGCCTCGATTTGACTGTGACACACAAGTTACTAAAAATATCAAAGTCTTCTGACGCCCATTGGCTGAAAGTTACATATTTCACAAAAATAGATTTCTACGTCAGAGGAGGTATATAAGAGCTCGGGATTTCCACTTACCACTTGTTGTTGCTTGCTCTCTCTGCTGTGAATGTCGTGCGGTGGTTTGTGCCCTGAACCACTAGCGGTTTACAGTAGAATTTTTAAAAAAACTTTTACCTCAAAATCATATCAGGACAGTGTGAGTTCCACGGGGAGTTAATTATTTGGACAGTTGTGCGGATACATTCTAAGGACTGAATTGACTTAATCAATCTGAATATCCAGTTTGTCGCCAGCTGATCGTATGAGCCGCTGACCCAGTTCGAGAGAGCCAAGCACACCAGTCTTAATAAAATATTCTGGGTCAGTGTGAACTTGTGATATATCATGGATCATTTAGCTGAAGATTATATAAATGATTTTGACTTGGAACATTTAGAATTCCCTGTTAGTGTTAAACGAGAGGCGGAAAAAGAGAAGCGCTGTTGTAGTATCAAAGAAGAACCAGACTTGACAGATTGCAGTGTGCCTCCCTCCCCTCATATGACTGACAGCGGAGTTTCCAGCCCCGCGGATTTAATGGAACAGAAATCACTTCTCGAAGATCTCCAATGGCTTCAGTGGAGCTCTGGGTTGCAGCTAGATTCCTTATGTGCAGCGGAAAGTTTGGGACTACCGGCTGACACCTCAATCGAGCAAATTGAAGAATACCTCAAATCACCGCCTGTTAAAGACCTGCCGGCTGCTAAACCTAAGGAGGCTCAAAATGGCGTCGATAAACGGCAAAACGAGGATAAAAAACCTAAAAAGGCAGAATCCACGAGTCGTTCAACTATGAAATCTGAACGCAAGAAGCAAGTTACCATTACTAGTTTACCAGTGGAAAGAGAAAAATCAAGTACTCCGTTGGATGACGACGAATTGGTGCTATTACCAGTGCGCGAATTAAATCGCCGTCTGCAAGGACTTTCCAAGGAAGAAACATTACGTCTTAAACAGAAAAGACGCACGTTAAAAAACCGAGGTTATGCCCAAAATTGTCGCTCAAAGAGAATGCAGCAAAGATTTTCACTAGAACACACGAATAGTTCTCTGCATAATCAAATATCACAATTACAGAGGCAAGTGAATGTATTAACTCGAGAACGTGATGTGTACAAGCGGCGATATGAATCTCTCAGGGCCAGCAGTACTACTGGCAGTAGACATTCAGTAACCGGGTCGGCTGGGATGAGCGATGGCTCAGTTTCTAGTTACCCGAGTTCTCCCGATGACGACAGCGTCTTTGACTTTTAAAAAAACATCTACATGTACTAATGAACTAGACACGTGTCCAGGTTTTGCATTATATCACAAAACAGTTTCTTTTGAAAAATGAAACTCTTCCGAAGTCTCTATAAATTCTGTGTTATTCTTCTATTGATTCCATTTAATGGATAAATATGTTATAATATAAACTTTGTGTTCATGTGTTACAAACCTGTCTGTGTTATTTTCTGTTCGGATATTCACTGGTTTTTATATAAGGTTCATACAGTGTACCCATAGTGTAATATTCAATGGTTAATTGTTTTTGAATTGTGGACTATTATCTCAACTAATTGTTTTGGTTATAAATATATTTAAAAGTTGTTATGGAAGTTGTGTATATGTTATCAATATTGTCATATTCATCTTTTAGACAACTGTTTTCCTTTTGAATGGTATAAAGTGAAAATGTGTTCATTATATCACAAAATTGTATATAGGTTTTTAGCAAAAATGTTTAAAAAAATTTTAAGATAATTTTTAAAAAGTCATTAAAAAGTGCTGTTTATTTTGTGTATAAATCTGTAAAGTCTAAATTTTATAAACCGTTATTTTTACTGTAATTATATGTAAAGTTAAACCAGACTTAATTAAGAATCCTTAATTGTATGTTAACTATCTTGTCTTCTTGTTAGATTATATTCATTTGTTAAAGTTTTCCTTTCCTCCTAGAAAAAAATTATTTTATTAGCATGAAATGGTCAATGTACTACAGCTAACATATACAAAAACAGAAAATAGAAATATATTTTAATACATATGTAAAGTTGTTTCCAAGTTGTTATGGACTTGAGTTTTTGATTAAGTTACATGTAGTTTTCATGACAATTAGTGTAAAGTTAGCTATATATATTATTGAATAGGGCATTCACAGTACTTCAGTATGAACTAGCATTCTGGGCATAAACACTCACATAGAAATGTCCTACTTAGAACTTACTGTAGACTGCTACATGTATAATGCTTAGAGCACGGCCTAAATATCAGCCAAGTCTCCACTAGTTGCCTAATGACTTCACCATTCATTTCGTGATGTACTATGTGCCTCTCTCTCTCTCTCTCTCTCTCTTTGCAACTTAACTTTGTAGACCTTTAGTTAACCATATGGAGCCAATTTGTATTTTAAATTCCATCACCAATGAAACCCTATAATTCCCAATCTGATTAAAATACAGATCTATATTTCGTTTCGTTTTTTTATACTTTTGATGGCCTACACTACAAGACAAGTAAAACGAAATTTTGAACTATAAAAACGAAACGAAATAGGATCTGTGTTTTAACCAGATTGTATAATTCCTAAATCAATCACAGATCATTTAATAGGAAATATTAAGAATACTGTTCAATTAAGGCAGTTTAAGTACATCTGATATTTAACTAATATCGTTAACATTTGAAAGTTTTACACCCATGAACTGAGTTACAGCTGTTAGTATTTTACCAATCACTGTTTATAGAAATCTTTAAAGATTGACCTCTGCTAACCTTCAGGAATAAAAGTTTTTAATCCCATTGTTAATTAATACAACATCATCAGAAATAATCAGAAGTCCTGCCCATTTTAATATCTTTAAGTTCTCTCTTTCAGCAAGTTGTTAAAAGTTATTTATACTCCCGAGTAAATAAAGTGCCATTTAATATATTCTGTATGAGATAATGGGATATTATATAGTGCCATGTATATATTAACATTTATTTCACATTTTCTAAACAAATAATTTTAATGCCAATTGGTCTAACATTGAATATTGAACAATATATGATTTATAAAGATAGAATGTAATAATTATGAGGAGATATCAAATATTTGTGTATTCTTAATACTACTAATTGAAATATGAATATAATTAATGATGTATTTTTTTAATGACATATTTAAAGGAGAAACTGCTATATGTACTGCTTGCTACAGGGAAATCACTGAGGGCAGATGATCCAATGTATAGTATATTAGCATGTTTTTACCTTCACCATTCTGTGATATAAAGATTTGAAACAGACCGTGTTTAGAAGTCCCCACCCGGAATGAGACTACTGTATTTCTTTGCAGTCAGTTTCTTCCCATGTAGTTACATTACAAACCGATTTTGTAAGTCATTTTTGTTAAATGATCATATGCTTATGTATATGATCAACGGATGGATTTTGGATATTACCCAAACTTGTCAGTCCAGCAACACGATTGACTGTTTTTAGTTGATGCTTTTTGTAAGACAGCTACCCAAAGACATGAAAAGAGCTTGAATTCCAAAAGTTCATAGTAAAACAACAACTTATCCTGAAAGTATATTTTAAAAACAAAATGTACTTTCAAAAAGCTTTATATGATATATATTGTTTTTATATTTTAAAAAATCTCCAGATTTATCATTTACTTAAATGTAGATGGTACTTGGGAACCAAAAAAATAGAAAAATTATAATAAAAAAAAAAAAAGAAAAAAAAAAAAAGCTTGGACGAGCAAAACCATAGTCACGCCTGCTGGGTCCAAGCTCCCAAACTTGCCAGTCGGTGGTACATCTGATACCTCAGATGATCCGAATGTGCACACGCAGCCTGGCAGCTAAGTTAAATGGCTGCAAGTGCAGTGATGTCTATTGAAGGAGAGCCCCCGTCCATTCTGTCTGGACGACCCAGTTGTATTTTACAAGTCTTTTATAAGTAAAGCAGATCGATAATTTTATATACTATTGTTTTTGTGTGGCACTTTTTAACTATATTAAATTCATTTAGTGCAGATGTTTTAACCCTGAAACTACTATTAGACTATTGTTAATTTAAAATTCATAGAAAAAACTACATGTAGTTTCTTCCAAATTACTGTATCTAAATCAGATTCTTATTATAATTATGTTTTTAACAGTCACATTTTTAACTAGAATCAAATATATACGAACATAACCACTATTATATATATTATTGTACATTGTGCCCATATATTATCTGTATTTAAAATACAGATGTGACGTCATCCTTTGATGTTGATGTATCCTTATTTCAAATAATGGTACAGGCAATGTGCCAAGGGTACATTATTTATACTAGTTAAAATTTTGGACCCATGTGACGTATTTCATTGCAAAGCACGTGCGAGTGTCTGTATTTTAAGTTGTTTAATGGTCTAGAGCTTAAGACATTGCGTAATATATTGAAACAACAACTTGTGACTATGTCACTCGTGTTGTTTCACTATATTATTTAATTTTTAGCTTTCGACCATTAAACCACCCATAATTATGTACTAATAGCAGTATTATATCTATAGATTCTTACATACAATTACTAGAATTTCATTATGATATCCTGACTAAATTTATGAATAAAGAAAAGTACAATTATAATAATGATAAAATATATGACATAGATAGATAATGGCAAACCATTACTATATATATTATATATATGACTGGCACAATGTACAATTCTAGGACTTTTGAGTTATTCTGTGCACTACACTATTGTTTATTACTGTACATATGTATATACTAAAATTGTTATGGGCAGATCTACATGTCCTTTATATTATGTGTTGTTTATAAATATGAAAACAGTTGGCTGTGAGCTCAAGTGCTTATTGAGTCTTAGAATTCTAGAATACGTTGATAACATAAATTTTGTATTTTAAAAATACTTTCTGCTTTACTTACACCTGACTTTGTATTGGACACCATTAAAATTATTGAAAATGCATTTTGTTTTTGTTGTTGACAATTATTTTAACATGTCATGTATGTTAAGTGTGCTGTATGGGGTTGTTGATAATAAGTAATACCATATGGTTTTCCAGTAAGAATAGAATAGAAATTGCTGGGTGAAAGCTCCAGTTAAATGAAAAATTTGGGTGGGTGTTGAATCAGTCTGGTCTGACATTACACAGCTAGACTAAATTAAACACAGCATATGTATATGTTTAAAGAGGCATGTGTTGGTTACATGCAGTGAAATATATAAGATTCAGCAAAGGTCAAGGAGATGCATGGACATAGATGAGTCTGTCACAGCCTGGGTTGAAGTGAGATTGCACATATCCTGTTTCTTAATAAAGAGGCATTATCAATTTCAACAATTAATCTGAGATTTAATACACAAAATAACCTAAACATACATAATTATTACAAATCAAAGTGTTTTTCATGAAGATTCACAGTACTTGAAAACCAGAAGTATTAGGTACTATAAAGAGCCTATTTCAAGAAAAAACTAGGAATATTATTAATGGAGATTGCAGAATAATGTGCACAAATGATTTTATTTCTATCCACCATGAAAAGTCTTAGTTCTCTGATATAACATAGTTTCTCGCATTAGGTCATAGTATGATGAAGAGATAACTTTACCTTACCTGCTTAGATGATATATTGTTGTCACCCATTTCTGTTGGAGAGAAATAATCATCTTTCTGAATGGATGTGTTGATGGGTGCGTGTATCTATAAAATCATCAAGTAAGTGGGATGTAAAATGAAATGACCGACCAGCACCAACAGGGCTAACAAAGACGGGCATACACCACCATACATTGTGCTGGAGAGCAGCATTTCTGCTAAATCTTCATCAAATTCTGTCAAGGGATCTTTAACGTGCTTGCCAACATTTGCATGTACAATAACTCCGATTTAAAGGTTTTAATGATGCAGGACCGAAAAATTTATCTGTGACTCAATAGGGTTTATCACCGACCAGCAATTTTTAAGATTTACACCACCCCTCCCTATGACAAATAGCGCATTTATAATGTTTCGGCAATCTATGGATTGGGTATATCGAGGCCCTAACTATGTATACGGGCTGGGTTAGTGGGGCTGTTGCTCGAACCCCGATTGCTGTCGCCTAATTTTCTGACATGATCAAAATGGATATCAGCTTTTCACATTGAACTGGCATATGGTGTATCACTTCCATCAAATATAAACCCTCGTCTCCACTCCCCCCCCCCCCCTTTGTAATAAAAATAATCCAACAGTGAGGCTGATGTCCCCCACCACAATCCCCAAATAAATAGATGATACATATTAATTAATTGGACATTTATCTTTTTGAAAAGTATCAATCAAACTGATTATCTATACTTAGTACTTAGTCTAAGCAGAAAATGTTCACAATCGAATACAGTCAACGTAAACATTTTACCTCAATTAAAAGCAGAGTTCTTATCAACCAATCAAATTGCTTAATATCGCTACTTAGCCTAAGCAGAAAATTCTCAACATCAATCTTGGTCAATATATTGATATAATGAATCTATGGGTTTCATCACTTTCACCCAGTTAGAACCAAAGTTATGGTGTTCTAAAGTCTCAACCAATTAAATTGCTTATCTCTGCTTAACCTTAGTGAAAAATGAGCAGGACAGTGTTGTAACTAGTGGGGGAGGGAGAGCGGACGCTCCCCCTGGCCCCCCCTTCTGGTCCCCCTTCTGGTCGAGGTGGGCCCCCTGACTACAAATATACTCTTCAAAAAAGTAGGGGATATTCAGAAACAATACAAAACTGCGGAAATGCACTGCTGTTTTTATTAGAGGTAACCAGTGTATGTTAACAACAGGCCAATTGCCTATATACACATGAACATAAACAGTTCATATGGGCCTATCTGTCGGCCATATTTCACTCGCAAAGAGATACACCGTCAAAAGTGGAAATGGACGTTTTTGATTTTTGTCTTAATAATGAGTAATATTGCTCCACCAATCCTCAGACATTCTGCAATTCGTCGTGGCATGCTCCTAATCAACCGTCCAATCACGATTTGGGGCAATCTGACCCAGTCCTCTTGCAGTGCCTCTGCCAATTCTTGCAGTGTTGTCCGTTGACGTTGACGTCGACGTCGACGAACACGTCTCCCGATCAAATTAAATGTAACACACTAAAGCAAAGATATGCTAAACAGTAAATCTTATGCAACAACCGATAGGAAAGCAAACATGGATAGATAAACCAGCACGCGCCAGTTTTCATCAACCCTTCCTTGAAGTGTCAAATTTGACAATGAACCCCTACCACGTGTATGGCGCTATTGCGTGTCGCATGTGCAGCTCAGTGGTTCTGTTGGGGCGATAAGTTCTTCATCTGTGAACATACTCTCAAAGCATGTCAAGTGTCCATGACTACATGTATTTAAATCACAAGCTGCATTTGCGACACGCAATAGCGCCATACACAAGGTATTTGCATTTCAATATCTCCTACTTTTTTTGAAGAGTATAGAAAATGTTGTGCTGAACCATAGGTAATTAATTCGGGGTGGGTCCCTTAATCGAAGTCAGAGGGGCCCCACGTTAATACTATTGGACCCATACTATTCGTATGTGTAGGGAGTAGGAACCCACTTGTCAATCTATGAGAGGCCATTATCAATGCTAGAGGGCCCCCACGCGAAAGTAATTTGACCATTACTACTCATAGGGACCCTTAATCAAAGTCAGAGGGGCCCACTTCAATGTAATTGGGCTCACTCATATACCGTAGTGAATCATGTCTCGTTGATCTATGAAGGCCCTTGATAAATGCTAGAGGACACCCCCCCCCCCCCAACTGAAAGCAATTGGGTGTAGGGTCCACTTGTCAATCTATGTGGGACCCTTATATTCATCTATATGGGGCCCAAGCACCCCGCATCATCACGTGGCCCTTTCACCGATCTTTGTGGGCCGCCGGCACTCTGTCCGATTCAGAACTTCTTGCCAAGGAATGTGGCATTGAGCCAAAGTTTGAGGTAAAGCGAAAAAGAAGAAAAGAAGTTGTGCCATGATGACGGCGCTGATGACAAACCATACAAAATAAATGATCACCTCAATTGGAATGCTTATTCCGAAATTGTGGACAGAGTAATGAATAGCTTCGGTGATCAATTTTTCATGGTTGATGCCAAACTAAATCTAAGAGAACATCGAAACAAGGATCCGATGCCGAGAGAGATCTTTTATAGCATTCTATAATGAATTGTGCTCAGAAAAAGCCCTATCCAGCTCAGAGATCAAGGTGTTGATGTAAAAACTATACTCCAAGTCTGTCTGTCCGCCAGTCATACTTTTCGGGACACAATAACAGTCCTACTTTTCGGGACACAATAACTTTTCTTCTTATTGAGCTAGAATGTTTAAACTTGGCGTCTGTGTTTATTAGGTAAATGTCTTACTGGGGTTCGAAGATGAGCATTTTCTGCTTAGGTTAAGCAGAGATAAGCAATTTGATTGGTTGATGCGTTAATTGGGACACGTTAACTTTGGTTCTCATTAAGTGAGAGTGATAAAACTTGGTGTATAGTTTCATTACATTAATAAATTGACTAAGTTTGATAATGAGCATTTCCTGTTCAGGCAAAGCAGATCGATAAGCAATTTGATTGGTTGAGACTTTGGAACACAATAACTTTCCTTCTAACTGAGGTTTAGGTGTTAATTACATGTAGGGGAAGACCTTGATGGAGTTCGAAGGTGAGGATTTTCTGCTTTGGCTAAGCATAAATAAGCAATTTCACTGGTTGATGTTTTGGAACACAATAACTTTGGTTCTAATTAAGTGAGAGAGAGAGGGAAACTAGGTCATTTCGCGACTAACACATGGATCAATTTTATTTCAATAATTTGCTTGCGCGTAGGGGTCTTTAGCAGTGGGAGGAAACTATTGAGGTAGAATGTTCAAACTTGGTGTAGGTGTCTATTAGATGAATGCCTTGACAGTGTTCGATCATGCAATAGTTTCCACTAAGGCTAAGCAGTGTAGGCTAAGTAGAGACATCAATCGGATTGGGGTCGAGACTTTGGAACACAATAACTCTCTCCATTGAGGTAGAATGTTCAAACTTGCAAACTTGGTGTAGGTGTCTATTGACAGTGTTCGATCATGCACAAGTTTCCACTAAGGCTAAGCAGTGTAGGCTAAGTAGAGACATCAATCGGATTGGGGTCGAGACTTTGGAACACAATAACTCTCTCTATTGAGGTAGAATGTTCAAACTTGCAAACTTGGTGTAGGTGTCTATTGACAGTGTTCGATCATGCAAAAGTTTCCACTAAGGCTAAGCAGTGATAAGCAATTTCATTGGTTGAGACTTTGGAACATGATAACTTTGGTTCTAATTGGGTGAGAGTATAGATTCAATATATCAATACCATGACTAAATTCGATGATGAGAATTTTCTGCTTAGGTTAAGTAGCGATAAGCAATAAGATTGGTCAAGACTTTGGAACATAACAACTCTGCTTTTAATTGAGGTAAAATGTTTAAACTTGGTGAGTTAAACAATGTCATTGGGCGATGCTTTGGGACAAGATAACTTCGATTCTAATTTATGGAGAGTGATGAAACTTAGTGTAGAGTTTCACTACCAGGTACTTCAAAACGATCTTTTAGAAGCATTTAGTAACTGGATAGAGCAATAAACTATAACACATACTTATGGAAGAACAATTACTGATTTATTTGGGCGACGTTTCGAAGAGTATTCTCTCAACGTTTTCAAGCAAGTACAGTAACAAATGTGTAGAGCAATTATATATAGACAAGCAATAACAACAATTCAGAAACCATGCATGACAACAACAAGATCAAAGGAATAAAAACAACATGATCAAAGGCAATGTACATATGTAGGATTAGTGAAACCACTGATAGGTAATTATAGGGGTAAATAATTAGACAACCAATCTTGACAAATGAGAAACCATACATGATAAAAACAACATGATC